GGCCTCGCCTGGTCGCGGGGCGGCCTGGTCGTGTCCCCGCGGGGGTTGCTCGGAACTCCGGCTGCCTGCCGTGCCCTGATTAGACTCCCGCTGTTGTCAAGTGCAGGGAAGAGGGTCTTGGGTTTCTGATCTCCTTGCAGGGCTCAGGGAGGGACCTGTGCTCACCGCAGGCCTTTACGTGCGTGGAAATCTGTTGGCGCAAAGTAAACGATAAAAACTAGAAGGCGATGGCAACGGTGTTTTGTCAGTGGCGTAAGGAATAACACGACGCGGTATCTGTCAGATGGGGTTGTGAGTGCCGGTGCTGGTCTGCCTGGAAAGCGTGGTCAGCTCGGTGTCCTGACATACCCAACCTTATGTGTCTGCGTGTGGGAATGGTGAATAAGTTGAATTTCCCGGGTGATTAATACAGTTGAGTAACTACAGCTGTTGTTTGTCCTTGTAATGCGCTTTTTCACCCATATTAGCTGATGATCTCGCTGCTATTAATGTATTTTTATCATCACGATCCATCTGTAAGGCAGGCAAACATTACCTGCTTTTACAGGGGAAGAAAAAACAAAAATCAAAAAAATAGCATGGGTGTGGCTCATTTGAGGGCTGAAGCTAGGTCTCCTGCATCTGTGGTAATGAGTCTTAGTGCCCTTTATTTAGGTGAGTGCTCTGAAATACTCTGTCCTACTGCAGATCTGGTTGCTCCACCTGATCTCTGGAGCAGTTCATTTTCTCGGTCAGGATCTGAGGGGTTACACTGCTCTTACGATCCAGCAGTGCTGGTCATATTTTGCCAGGTGGTAGCCCAGGCATTGAGAGGAGCCCTTACACCTTGCTACGCCATAGCAGCGCTTCAAAGAGATGGTTGGACAGTTTCTGCAGATGATAAAAAATGGTCAAATAAGAGCATACCGGGCCTCTGTTTTTTTTTCCCTACCCCTAACACTCTTGACATTTCAAAGGTTCTAATTCTACTCACTGTTGGGACCTGTTGGTGCATGTGTACGTGCAGCTGTTGGGAGTTTAAAGGAACCTGTTCCTGGGAAAATAAGCAAAGGAAGAATTTCCTCCTTACTTCTCTGCAGAGAAACTTAGGATCTAATTGCAAGGGTTTGGGGAAAGCCCAGCGACAAAAGCTTAGGTATGCTTTGCAATAATCAGGGCGTGTTTATGTGAACTAACATCATTTTTGAGAAGTGTACAGTTGAATTTCTTTGACCTACTGGGTTTTTCTCCCCCTAGATACTTGGGTGCATCTTCGCTTCAAAAGGGCTACACCGTATTGCACCAGCTAAGGCTCTGGCCCACAGAAATTGCAAAGTGGATGGGAAAGTCCAAGAAAGAGCGATGTTTTAGAAATACTTACTGTCCTTCCTACAAACGTCTTCGTTTACCGAATTAGCTGCTATTGGCTGTGGTGTTGCATCATTAAAAAAACCAAAGTGCTGTAGTGCAGGGCAAATACAAATTTCTTCTTGGAGATTGGAAGCCACTGTTAGGCTTTATTTTTTAAAACAGTTGTACTTATTCCAGTGGCTTTATCAGGAACTGTGATTACATTGAAATACATTTTGGCTTTTGCAGTGGTTCTGTTAGATTAATGATGTTTTCTGTAAATCTTGCATATGTGCAAATTCTTAAAAGAGTTTATTACTGTGTAACAAGCGGAAGTAAGTTACAAACAGGCCTGTCAAATGCAATATGTGGGGAAAAAATGTTGTTTTCATTTAAATCTTGGCATGCTTGGAGAGAGAAGTGCCGATCGTTTTGAGATTTGGGCTGGCTAGAGCACTGGGAAGCCAAAGGGATGGGGTGCAGCTCTGGGAATGCTCGGTTTATGGCCTGCAGTTGGGCGCAACAGGGTTGGGAAGATCAGGGTGCCTTGCATTCATAAATGGAGGGATAGAATTAAACCTATTAATGATGTAACCGTTATTTTCCTTATTTGATTACTGGTGGTTATTTCATGCCAGCGTTAACCAGCAGTTAGGATAAAATACATCCTTCTCTTTGCAATAAATCACCCAGTTATTGAATCAATATTTGTCATCCTTATTCCCCTTGTTCTGGATGGGAATTCCTCAAGAATCTTATCATTTAAGTGTTAACGAAGTGTACAATTAAGGAGAAAATAACATTTTCTAATCATTTGAGTGTAAGAAGCTGTTTCCCACCCAAAATGAAAGCAAAATACTTGGAAATCTTTAATACCTGAACTTTTGGGGGTTAAGGAATTAATGTTACTGTTTTATACCCCTGAAACATTGTGTTCTACTCTCAGTCTGATGAAACTGTAAAACACACAAAACCAAACTGTGCTACACCCCTTCAAAAAACTTTAGATCAATTTCCTCTCTGAATGGTAACAAAAAGTACAGCCTTGATTGTTCTGAAGAGAAAAAAGATCTGTGAGATTTGATTAGATTGTGGCATTTTTCATTGGAAAGACATTTCAGTGAACCATTTCTGCACTGATTGCATCTAGAACCAGCTGAACTGAAGAGATGCTGTTGGAACGTACCTCTCCTTCTGGCTGTGTATCAGATGTTCGTGGTGTTAGAGCTCACATGGGAGCCCGTATCGAGAATTTATCGCAGATGGGGATCTTAAAAAGGAGCAGGAGGAGGAAATTAGCACATGCTCTGCTCATTGATTTCTTTAAGCGCTACTGATCGGTGAGCTCCGCCGCCCCGGGGTCAGCCCTGCGCAGAAATGGAGAAGGATATCCTGTTGGAAAACATTAAGAAGGGCAAGCCAGGGGACAGATAAGTGGACTCTTGTGTGAATATGTGGACGGAATTTAGTATTAACCTCCGGATCTTCGCCGCTTCGTGCAGGCTGTTAGCGTGCTGGAGGAGCTGTTAGGATCATGTCTCCACATAGCTGGTGATCCTTGGTTGGGGAATAGCTGGCAGATGTTGAGTTAGGAATGTTTTAAAGATTCCTGCAGGCCAGAAAGCGCAAGGCAGAGCCTGTCATAATTATTGAATGTTTGTAGGAGCCTGGATGTGAGCAGCCCTTTTCTGATAGCATTTAGTCAGTGCTGCTTTGCACATGTCCCCCCACTCAACTTCTAGCTTTTATGGGATGTTTCACACTTGCTTTGTTTGTCTTTTTCTTCCAATTACTTCTCCCGACCATTTTTCCTGGGGTCACATTTTGTTTTCTCTGAGTAAACATCATTGAACTTGCTGGCAGCGAGGAGTGCAGGAGCAAGCAGGTTCTGCGCCAGCTAGGTAAGAACGATGAGATCGCAAGCAGTCCCAGTGATTGAGGTGGGACTTCTCACAGCAGCTCATCCAGTGCTCACGATCAAAGCCCCAGTTACGTACTAATATTCGAGGTTCTGCATAACTCAAATTTACAGCCGTTTTCTATCTAGTAGAAATCTCACTCATTTCCTACACACGTACGTGTTCCAGTGGCTCTTAACAGGGTCATTAGGAAATGAGTGTAAACCTTTAAATGCAGGTTTTAAAGCATTATTTGGAGCGTCACAATCATCGAATGACATGCCTTGCAGTTTAGATGATTATCTTCTGCGGTGCTTGCTGCGGTAGCTTGTGAAAGGAAGAGTGTCTCAAAGCTATCTCTTAAGCTTGCTATTCACTCTAGGCTGTGTATTGTATTTGACTTCCTGGTGCTTTATATTGAAGACACATTCATCTTCTTAATCAGTTTATATCTGCCAGGGATGTATTTAATATAACGTCAAACCTAATTTAGATGAGAAGTGAAAGTGGAGTGTGGTGTCACTTTCTGCCAGCCGTTATTACTGTCAGAGGGGAGCACAGCAAGCCAAGCTTAAACTGAGCCTTAACAATAACAAGCAATAACAACCTGATTCGTCTGTTTGTTTTGGCCTGATGTTCTTCCCTTGATTACAAAGCTGTTGTAAGCATGTGCTAAATAACAGACACGTCAAAACTATGCTAGGTTGGGAATATCAGCTTAGAGGATCAGATCAGAGCGTCTAAAGGCCTCGGTAAGGTTGACGGCGGTGGCGGCATGTTTTATGGGTAAGGGTAAAAGATTTCTTGTTGCGGCGGTATGGGTGTCACGCAGGTTGAGGAAAGCCACGGAGTTCTCAGATGTCGGATTTGCTGTAATAATAGCTGGTGGGGAAATGCAAATTGTTCTTTCTGAAAATGGCAAAAAAACTTCTCACCCCTCAGTTTGTTGGTTGAGAAAAGGCAGTTTGGAAATATCTATCAAATAAAACGCTATTACCTCCTCAAAAAAGTTATAGCTATTTCTAGATACGTTGTTTGCCCCTGTGTATTGTTTACATGGCCAAATACAGTAGAAGTTTACTAATTCTCGTTATTAGCCCTTGAGTCTGATTGTACCCATGGAGGAAAAAAGCCAGAAACAAAACTGAACCAGATCTAAAGGTTCATCCCCTGGCTTTGGCACAAGGGGCCGCCTGGTGCCATGAGTGGAGCCTGAGAAAACACAGGCTCTGTTTCACCACCAGCCTGGAAACAATCGGAAGTGACTTGCTGTGCTTCAGTTCGCCCCTTGGTGCGAGACAGGCAGGGGAAGAGGTTTGTTTCTGCCATAAATGGATGTGACATCCACTGTTGAAAAGTGCTTGTATGAAGAATGTGGGATTATTAAGATGGGACGATCGTGTTAGTCGTGTTTCTGTCACTGTGCTACAGGATATTCCTTCTGAAGGGTTACTCCTACCATGTAAATCTAAATCTGTCATAAACCAAGTGGTTTTGATGATGACAGTTGCTTTGATAGAACTTGAGGGCTTTACCACATCTTGTAAATTAGGAATTAGTACCTGTATCTCCGCTGAGCTTTTTCTGAAGTGTTTGATGTTGTATATAAATGAAAAGAGCTTGTGGAAGAGGGGGAGCAAACATTCAAAGCTTTGTCTGTTTTTCTGGCAGGATGGAGAAAAAGAAAATTCTGATGAAATCCAAGGTTGCCGCTCCTAACGTCCTGAGGGCGCTGCATTCTCTCTACCAGTTCGGTCACCTCTGCGACGTGACGGTTCACACGCAACATCTCGGAATTCAGGAGGAGTTTCTGGTTCACAAAGCTGTCTTGGCAGCTTCCAGCAATTATTTCAAAGGGCTTTTCCTACACGATGAGATGCTGGACACCAAGAATTGCACAGTGACACTACAAGACATTTACACAGAAGAGTTCACCTCCTTTCTGGAGTTTGTTTACACTGCGGAAGTGGAGATTGAAGTGGAAAAACTGCAGCGGCTGAAAGAAATAGCCGAAAGGCTCGAATGCAAGGATTTGCTTGACATTTGTGAAGAGGTGAAAGCAGAGGGCAGGAAGGGGTTAGATTTGAGCCTCCACCTGAAAGGTCAGCTATGTGAAGATGGTGGGCCACAGTGGACCTGCATCCCGCGAGAGGAGCACCGCACACTGAGTAACTCTTCCCGAGTTGTGGCAATACCCACACAGAGGAAACATAAAAAGTTTCTGGCCGGCTACGAACTCATTGAAGGCCAACCAGCAAGCCTGGAGCAAGAGGACAGTGCTTTTCCAGAGCCAAAATTGAGGACGGCAAAGCTGCCAAAAGGTAACAAGGCAGATGCTAGAAATGGGCTGGGTGTGGATATTGTTAGTTTGGCAAAGGAGAGTAGTCAGTCTCTCCTGAGTCAGACTGAGGCAAAGGAGGCCTGTGTAGTAATAGAGAACACGCTGCCTGAGCATTGGGAAGGTGAAAACAGTTTAATTTCCAAATACACCAGTAAAACAAAACACGGAAAATCACCGCGGCACGCGGCAAAAGCCTTGCTGCAGATCGTGTGCGAGAAGTGCAACGAATCGTTCCGGGTTATCGAGCAGTACCATTCGCACATGGAGCTGAAGCATGACGTTCATCTAGCTGTCAAGTACAGCTGCGAGGCGTGTGAGCAGCTCTTCTCCACTCACCAGAACCTCCGCCAGCACCGCCTCGCCGCTCACAATGAGGAGCGTGGCGGCTTCTGCGTGTTTTGCGACAAGAGCTTTAAGCGCCGGAAGGATGTAAACGACCATATCCGCAGGGTGCACGAGAAAAAGCGGGATCCCCAGGCCTGCCCGTACTGCGACAAGATCATCAGTTCCAAGTGCGGCCTGACGGTCCACATACGAACGCACACGGGTGAGAAACCTTACAAATGCCAACGCTGCCCCGCCAGCTTTGCACAGAGGTCTGCTTTCAATACTCACGTAAGGTACAGTGTTCCCAGTGTGTGTCCATGTGCGTGCAGGGAAACGTGTTTTCCAGGTTGACGTGAATTTGTTCTGTTGACCTCATCAAGCTCTCAGTCTGGATTACTGGATTGAGATCTCCCAGACTGGGAATTTAAGCGAATGTTTCCCATTGAATCAAAGGGTACTTGTGCAATCGGACCTCTGAGGTGATTTTTGGAAGCCTCAGATTTAAATTTTTTAATAGGAGCCTGAAAATAATCGGCATTTGTTTAAAATGCTGAAGAAAATGCCCTTTTTGTAAATGTCAGGGCAGTGTTTTGCTGGGTAACGTGAGCTTCCAGATAGGCTCGTTAAACACTGCCCAACTGAAAACAAGATATTGAGGTTACACAGTAGGTTCCAGAACTGCAAAAGCCACTGTACATGTTGAATTGTCTCTGTCCCCTGCCTGTATGGTACAGGAGATAGGGATTTTTCTGCTGGATCCCAGCTTCCCATGTCAAAAATGTCAAAGTTTGCTTGGAATTCAGTCTGGTAGCAGAAAAAAACATTCCAGATACGTCACGAGTGCAATGATGTAGCTTGTTCTGCACAGTGAGTAGTGATAAGGACTTGTAAGCAGTTGATGGCTTACAAGGGGAACTGTTCTGGTTTTCCATATAGGCGTTAATCCATATTTCCCTTACTTTAGGTCCACAATTTCTTATCCTGGCCAACATGGCCTTGGAGGAATATTTACAGTCCATCCTATTGTGGTGGTTTGAGTTGGGATAGAGTTAGATTTCCTCACAGTAGCTACTATGAGGCTATGTTGTAGTTGTGCTGAGAACGACATGGATAACATGCTGATGTTTGTAGTTGTTGCCAAGCAACATGTACATTAAGTCAAGGACTTTCTCAGTTTCTGATAGTGCACCTGTGTTCCCAGCTTCTTCTCTACAGGAAGCTGGGAGGGGACACGGCCAGGACAGCTCATCCAGACTACCCAAAGGGACATCTCATGCCATCAAACCTCATGCTCAGTAGATAAGTTGGGGGTGGGCCGGGGCTGTCTCGGTCTGGCTCTGGGGCTCTCCAGCTCTCGCTACTCAGGAACTGGCTGGGCATCAGTCAGCAGGTGGTGAGCAGTCGTATCATTTTCCTTCTCCATTATTTTAATTACATATTATCAGCACTAGTAGTAGTATTTTCATTGCATACTGTTAGTAGTGTTCTTAGTATCATTAATATATTTCATTTATTTTTGATTATTAAATTGTTCTTAACTCAGGAGTTTCCTTGTCTCTTCCTCCGATTCTCCTCCCCATCCCACTGGGAAGGGGGAGGTGAGTGAGCAGCTGGGTGGTGCTTAATTGCTGGCTGGGGTTAAACCACGACACCTATGTCGCTCGTCAAACAATGAGTATTCCCAAGAGGCACCATCCTCGATGAACCGAGACTTTTTAATTTTCTTTAATTAACTGCTCCAACTCGACACAATTTCCCTCTTCCTGGCTTTCCAAACATGCTGTTATTTCTCAAATGGTGTGAAGAACAGTTAGAAGGAAACAGCTCTTTCTCTGAGGCAACCTGAACTGAAACAATTGAACCTACTGAAGTTGTGCTCTGTTGTTGGTTTGTTTTAACAGAAAAATCCATGATTCTGGGCAGGAGAGGAAACTTACGCCTGTCTACTGGATGGTAGTTCCGCCGGCACACAGACCAAACGCAACAAGCTGTGACAGAGCTTCTGGCAGGGAGATGTGGGCTGGGACGTCAGAGGCTGAAGGACAAAAACGTGCGAGGCATGAGGAGGTCATGAATTGTGAGGAGGAACCCGGGGGTTCAGCTCTCACCGACGCAGGCTATAGCAACGAGCAAGACCAGAAGCAGAAATACAGGGAAGCTGAAGCAAGAAGTGAAAAAATGAGTGAAGAAGGGAATGAAGGTGAAGGTGAGATAAGTGTGAAAGGAGAGGAGGAGGTAGATTACGAAGCCGGGTATTCAGAAGTTGAAGACAGAGCTAACGAGGAGGCCTGTACTGAGGAGGAGGATGAGGAGGATGGATACTCTAATGAGAAGGATGGTGAAGAACGTGAATCAGTGTTTAAAATAAAGAAGGTAGATAAAAATGGGGTGAATAGGAAATCTGCCTACGTGATAACATGCGATAAGTGTAACGAGCAGTTCATTTCCCGGAAAAAGTACGTGGATCACTGCAGAGATGTCCATCAGTGCTTGCCTGGTAAAGTCTATCGGTGTGACATCTGCAGCAAGTCGTTTGCTAGCTACAACAGCTGGAAGGAGCACCGAGCCTGTGTCCACACGGAAGAAAGGCGCTTCGCCTGCACCCTTTGCAATGCTACTTTTAAACGAAAGAGAGACGTGAGGACGCATTACATGCGGAAGCACGAAGGCAGAGTCAAACGCCCTCTCTGCTCTGTCTGCGGGAAGATCCTCAGCTCCCGAACAGCGTTAGTGTTTCATATGCGGACGCATACAGGAGAAAAACCTTACGAATGTGGTGTTTGCCATTCCAGATTTGCTCAGCCGTCACAACTTAAGATCCATACCAGGTCAGCCTACAGTACTGCCTCTCCCGTTACCACTCCCTGCATGCTCAGCATACTTCAGCACTTCTTTTTCACCCTTCTGGCTTCCCAGTTCCGAGTCATTCTCCTTGCGTGTCCTTCCAGCGGGAACACCGGGATGTAATTTATGCTGTAGTATCTGTGATTAATTCTTTTACGTAAAGGTTTGTCTGCAGCTGCTCACTGCATCCATTTAGTAAGGATTTGGAAACAGATGCTCTATCCGAACTCGTAACCGAAAGCCAATCATTTGAGACAGTCTTCAAAAACAAGATGACGGCCTTCACTGGTGAGAAGTAGCATAGGCTGAGGAATGAGTCAAGGACCTCAGAGACCCAGATGCTGAGCGCTGCTCATTCTGTATCACCCTGAGCGAGTCATTTAGCAAGGGATTTCACTTCTTGTGCGCAATACGAAAGCTGGATTTCTCATCCAGGCTCCCTCTGTAGTCACTGGAGCTCAACTGGATTAATTGCTCTCTGGTGGTGTCAGTGTTGCATGTGTCCCTCCCAGGAGAGGGTGAATCATCCCATGGAATTCCCCATATTTCTCCAAACAGGGAGTGTAGCAGATAGCTCATAATCGGAGGTTAACTGGTGCAGGGCTAAATGAGGGGAGAGAAATCCCGTTACTAGGTACTGTGGACCCATACAATGGGGACAGTAGCTTTCTTCTGTCTCCTAAGTGTTGTTCTTACAGTGATTTTAAAAAACTGTGAAGTGTACTGACTCAGGACCAGCAAAACATCCAAAATGCAGCAGTGCAAGATTTGGTATGACTGCAGCAAAACTCGTGGGGTTTGTGCTGGGTAACCGGCTGTCTCATGTTTGCAGCATTTTGCCTAACAGAGCAAAATTGTGGGTGTGTTTGCACGTTGTGCCGTTTGGGTTGGAGTAAGGGAAGTCAGCACGGTGTTAAGACCAAACGTTAGGCTCCGGCTTTCTTTGCTGGAGGTAATTTAAAATCAGATGTCGAGCACGTGTTCAGAAATACTCCTTGCCTGACTTTCCTTAGTGCCTTTTGTCTTAAAAATAGGAATATCCTGCCAGTTACAGTTTGCGAGCCAGAGGACTTGAGGGATTGCGGAAGCCAAGAATGTGGTCCGCAATATCCCAAGAGGACAATCTGGATGCACTTTTCAGTCTCTCGCACAGCAGCAGCATCTTCCCTGCTTTCTCCCTTCCGATGCTTATACTGTGAGCCATAAATTGTAAAAGAAAAGTGGATTTTATAGGGCCTGAGAGTGAGGAAAAAGATAAACCTTAATTGGGGATTTTAGTGCAGCACCTGTATTGGCAAACACTGTTTCCTGACTGAGCGGAATGTGTGTTTTTCCACCTCATTTAGGAAAAAAAGTGTGCTGCCTGTAGCATGTAGAGTGCAATTTCAAGTAGAATCTTTTGAGAATGCACCACGAGAGCTACTTTATTAACAGTCATTTGTGCTTCGCTCCGTTTAGGTCCCATACAGGGGAGAAGCCATATATCTGTGAGGACTGTGGGGCTTGCTTTGCTGATAAAGGCAAACTCACTGGCCACAAAAGGACCCACACAGGTAGGTGTTTAACACCAGCATTCCTCCTGTCTGGTTGCTCCAATCGCCTCCCTTTAGGCTGCTGGGAAAGGGCTAGTTGGGATTTGAAAAAGGTGCATACTTGTTTTTGTACCTCACAGGAGAGACTTCAGGTACCAGGAACCACTTTGGTTTTCCAGTGTCCTTTTATCCCTACTTCGCAGTATCAAATTCTGCTGAAAGAATTCACACTGTCTTCTCTTTGCTCAGGAGAGCGCCTCTTTAAATGCGATGTGTGTGGAAAACACTTTGCCACCAATGAGTATCTGAAATGCCACAAACGATGCCACATGGGTGCTAAGCCCTACAAGTGTGAGGTCTGTGGGAAGACGTTTGGACTGAGAGCCTCGCTAGCCCAGCACAGTAACGTCCACGCAGGTAACAAAGCAAACTCCTCAGGGCTGGGAAAACAAATGGTGCTAGAAGCTTGGGTCTGGAGTATTTTCCAGTTTGGATGGTGACATTTTATTCCAGAATGACTTTAAGCTGTTTGAATTAGGTGATGGGGAGGAGCAGGACTTGTACAGATCCTGGCTTGTTAAGCAGGGCACAATACCATCTCATCTCATATCAGATGATGCTTCTCCAGGAGACTGTCTTCTGTTTTGTGCTGCTGAAGGATGTCAGAGCAAAGTGGTTGTAGTTGCTGCTATTCCCCTTGCAAGATCACAGACTGGTTTGGGTTG